CACCATCCTGAGTGAGGTAAGCCAGACCCAAAAAGAGGAACATGGGATGTACTCACTCATATTTGGTTTCTAGCCATAAATAAAGGACATTGAGCCTATAATTCGGGTTCTTAGAGAAGCTAAATAAGAAGGAGAACCCAAAGAAAATCATATAGGCATCCTCCTGAATATTAACCTTCATCAGGCGATGAAAGGTCCAAATCAGGAGCAGAAGGAGAGAGAGCACAAGCAAAAAAATATCTTGATAGAGTCATTATAGGGTTAAAGAGAAATCTGCTGTTAGAGAAATTCTCAAGAATCCACAAGAATAACCCCAGCTAAGACTCCTAGCAATAGTCGAGAGGGTGCCTGAAAGGGCCTTCCCCTATAATCAGATTAGTGACTACCCTAATTGTCATCATAGAACCTACATCCAGTAACTGATGGAAGCAGATGCAGTGACTCACAGTCAAGATCTGGGTTGAGTTCTTGGAGGTCAGTTGAAGAGAGGGAGGAGGAAATATGAACAAGGGAGTCAAGAGCATGAGGGGGGGAAAAACACAGAGTCAGTTGACAAGGGCCACTGGGATGTCAGGGACTATGGACTGCCTGCTGGGCAATTTGCACAGGAACAAATTAGACCCTCTGAATGTGGGGGACAGTTTTGTGACTTGATCTGTTGTAGTCCATGGCAGTCACACCAAGACCTATCCCAGGTGCTTTAACTGGCTTTTTGGAGCCAATTTTTCCTTATAGTGGGATACACTGCTTAGACTTGATAAGGAGTGGCTTGGTCCTGTCTCAAGTTGTTGTCCCAGACCTTGTTGGCTCCAAAAAGGAGGCCTTACCCCATCTGAGAAGTGGATGAGGGATGGGAAGGAGGGAGGTGGGGGGTGGGAAAAGGAGTGGGAGGGGGAACTGGTTTGGTATGCAAAATGAAAAGCAATTTTTTAAAATAAAAACACACACACAAAAGAAAAGAATGTAAAGAATGTGAGTGAAACAGCAGGAGAAATAGGACCAAACGAATAGAAATCCTGAAGTTTAGGAAGCTTATCTCCAGCTATATTAAAACTAAGACCTTTGAATAGACATGACTGACACAAGCATCCAAGTATTAGGAAGTGTTTTCACATGGGACTGATTGCTCCACATTATAACAATACTATAAAAGCCTCCTTATGGTATTTAAAAATATTTCTTCAAATCTAACTTTTCTCCTAAAGAGCAGTATTTGAAAAATATTTATTCAAATTTGATTTTACAAAGTTTAATTTTTTTCTAAAGAAAAGCATTTGAAAATGCAAAAACATGGCCGGGTGGTGGTGGCGCATGCCTTTAATCTCAGCACTTGTGAGGTAAAGGCAGGCGGATCTCTCTGAGTCCGAGACCATCTGGTATACAAGAGCTAGTTCCAGGACAGGCCCCAAAGCTACAAAGAAATCCTGTCTCGACCCCCTTGACCCCAAAAGAAAAGAAATGCAAAACATGGCGCTTTATTTCAAATGTGTAGGACCCAGTTTTTCTGTTTTTTGAAAATCTGCCTGAAGTCGAGAGTTCTATTTTTATATTTTGAGCTTTCAATAAGATTTGAGAATGTGTCTTGTGTGTCTGACACATAAAGTATGCAGCTTTGGCAAATTAATGACTCCAAGTGTCCATGATATTTGGTAACTGATTTCTAGGAAGATAATGACTGCCAATCAAACATCTCCAAATGTATTTCCCATCACACCCAGAGACTTGTTTTCAGAGCAGAAGCACTGCAAGAGATTGATTTTTCATACTTGTTGAATTCCATGAAAAGTTCTGTTTTATAACCATATCTGAAAACACTATCTAGCTGTTCAATTTAATTAAACAATTCTTTACAAATGGCTTGATATTGTTCAAGTAACCCTTCCCACATTCCTGTGAATACAGTCTAAGCACTTTGGTAAATATAAATAAAAAAGAAACTTAATAAGAAGAAAAAACCCTTTATAGTTAATCAAAAGCACACTATAGTGAAACAGAATAAATGTTATCAGAAAACTTGATACCAAAAAAAAAAAAAAAAATTAAAGAAATCCCAGAAGGGAAAAAGGTAAAAAGTGTTCTACAAAGGATTTTGTAGACAAGAGGTTATTTTAAGAAGTGAAGAAGTTAATTCAGTGACTATGGACAATTGGTCTGAAGGTCAGAAACTAGATTGTGAGCCAGATAAATGAGTTTTAGGACATTTGGTAGATGGCATGACAGAATATGGTGGGAATGAGAGTTAGTGCTATGATCATAGATTAGGACACATTTCTGAAACAATAAACAAAGTTTAGATTTTATTTGAAAAATACTATGGCAGTAAAGTCATCACCTTTTCATAAAGACTATACATCTTCATAAATCAGGTCAGTGTCTCTACAGCTCCAGGATATTATGTAGGAAATGAAAGGAGAGGAATCATTTTCAAATTTCTCTATCAGCAAAAATTATTATCTAAAAGTGACCATCAGCAATACTAATAATTATTACATTGAGAGAAACCTGTTGATATTGTCATGATCCGTAGTTGTAGCATTTTGCTGTGAAAGGAAAAAAGAACATTTTGATTATGTCTTAAAATATAATGCCATGGTTCTGTTCATTTGGGAAGGGAGGCTCATTCTAAGTTTTTAAAATTCTGTAAATACCCTATCATATTTGCTTCATAGGTAAAATAAAGGCAAAGATAAACATATTCCTATCTGCTAAGTTTATGGTATGTGGAAGACAGTTCAGAAGTAGTGATTTGCTCAAGGAATAAGCGCGGGTAGTGCAGCCTGCTAACTCTGAGTAAAGCTCATTTGGACTAAAACTACCAAGACTAACTTGCAAATAATTAAAATAATTCTCCATCACAAAGTAATCAAAGTGAGGTACAGCGTGGTGTCAATAATGACAATCAGAATATTGCTTACTTCCTTTGTATTTACATAGATGTTTACTTATTTATAAGTAATATCTAATCAATATGTCATAAATAACACATTTTTAAAATCTGTAACTAATTGTCTAGTTTAGCAGTGAATTCCCAAATGATTTTCCTAAGCTCAAATGAAGCAGGCATTGTTATGTGGTATACCACTCAAGGACATAAATCAGTCTAAACTGGTGTACTACATGTAACAAAGATGGCCTTTGAACACAGAAAAGTAGGGATACTATCAATAAGCTAATAGAATTAAGAGAAAGAATTAGTCATAGGAACGAAGAAGCAATACCTGCAAATATATGATGTGAGGTATCTGCCATTCAAATAAAATATAAGCATGTATTATGAAAGAGATAAGTATGTAAATTTTAGAATAATAGAAAACCAAAATAAAGTATATTTCCAACATTTCAAAATGTCCTTAAAGCCCCAAATCAACAATTAGGGCTTGGGTCTGCTTCTTTATCTCATCTATAGTTTTCCCATTGTGCTCTTTATGTTTTGCTGTAACTTCTGTTTTCTGACAGTGAAAAACAAAAATGGGTTATCTGTGGAAGTACGTATCTTTATACTGAAAGTATCTTTATACTGAAAGTATCTTTATACTGAAAGAAGAGGGCAGGAGCTGCATCAGATACCAGAACTTTTAAGTAATTTATTGCATTTTGTCTGGTAGGTAACTCTTAACAACACTTTGCTCTCTTAACATTTTAAATAAATCTGATAGGGGCTGGAGAGATGGCTCAGTGGTTAAGAGCATTGCCTGCTCTTCCAAAGGTCCTGAGTTCAATTCCTGGCAACCACATGGTGGCTCACAACCATCTGTAATGATGTCTGGTGCCCTGCCCTCTTCTGGCCTGCAGACATACAGACAGAATATTGTATACATAATAAATTAATTAATTAATTTAAAAAATCTGATATACTATATTAGAAATCATAGAGACAACAGTTTTGGGGGATTTTTTCCTTGTCTAAGTAAACACTTTGGTATCAATAAGTGAACACAATTATAAATTGCAAGAACGAAAGCCATGGCACATAAAGTTTTCATGATTCCAGCTCCTATGAGAACCAGGGCTTCGAAGGCTTTGAACATTCTAGATGACCTACTGGGACACCTATGGAGGAGGTCAGTGGAAATGTTTCACACAGTGTGCCTGACCATTGTGATTCATGGTATTAAACAAATGATCAAATGTGTGAATGAGAATTAGGATTGTGCATTGATCACTGCAAATCCCTGATCTCTTTTGAAATGCTAAGGCCAGGTACCTGGAAAGGTTATGAAATACTTCCAACTATGTATTCTTCAGCACCTCAGTCAGGATTGAAAGGGAA